CTTTACCAATGTGTTCTTTCTCACATAAGGGCCTCGCCACAGCTCAATTCAACCTCATCAAAGGCTGCATCTTCACCAACCAGCTCACCCTCATGCAAGAGTATCACCCAAGTTCAATTTAGTTTCATCAAAGATTACATCTTCACCAATAGGCTCGTCCTCATATAAAAGCTTTGCTCAAGTTAAATTCAGACTCATAAAGGATACCTTTTTACCATGAGCTCGTCCTTATGTAAGGGCCTCACCCAAGTTCAATTCAGCCTCATCAAAGGCTGTCTCTTTACCAACGGGCTCATCCTAATTCAAGGAGCTCGCTCAAGTTCAATTTAGTCTTATCATAGGCTTATCAACACCAGGCTTGCTCTTAATGTAAGGGCCTTGCCTCAACTCAATTCAACATTATCACAGGCTTTATCTTAAACAACAAGTTTGCCCCCAATGTAAGGGCATCACCTCAGCTCAATTCAGCTTTATTACATGCTTCATCATCGACAATAGGCTCACTCTTAATATAAGGGCTCTACCAAAATAAATCTTAGCCTTATCACATGCTTAATTCACACAAAAGGCTAGCCCTCATCAAGGGTCCCACCTTAAAACAGGTTCACAATCCGTTTCAAAAATTTACTCATATGATACATTCTAAGTTCTTACATTTTATAGATAATCATGTTTTCGTTATCACTTTACAATTGAGAGGTTAGAAAAGTATATGTTCAACCAACATAAAACAGCCCATGTCAGAGCACCACTTTTTCAGAACAGAACATGTGGCATGAATAAGACAACATACTTCGACATAAAAGTCTACGCATTATATAAATATTTATATATGGACTTGGGGGACTATAGTTACGCCTTTTCCAGTGAGGATCCAAGCATGGTCATGTGGTAACTACACAGCAAGTGAACCTAGGCCCCCACTCTATATTATTCTGCTCATATGGTAATTTTGGTTGAACCCATGTGCTGGGATGGAACCCATATAAAGGATCAAGCCCTTATGAATGAGGCGAAGTATGTAGAGGCGTTGCAAATGATCTTTCGTATAATATCTTCCATTTATGGTTGATGTGAAGTCTAGACGATTTGTGTTAGGCCTAGGGTTGCAAAATGTCATAATATTTAATGTGCATGAGTCTAAGACTGATCGATTGATGCCTATCACAAGATGCTTTAGCCGTTAAGATGAGGCCGCATGCCTCTTCATCCAATGGTTCATACTCATCATCTTCTACTATAAAAGTTCACACATTATGACATTCAAAGGTAATACAAGTTTAGATTCTCAACATATAACTGTGATCTCATTGCTCTCTACACATTTCTCAGATTTGAACTCCTTTTTATATAAGTAGCTCACGTCTTAAGCACGTCCTACACCTAAATATTATTCTTACAAAGACTGACTTGACCGTCAGAGTGTGTGCGACCACCACCACCACCACCACCAGGGATTGGTCACATGCTCTAAAGATTTGTCCAAGTTCCACGTCATCCTACGAAAAACGAGGACAACAATGTTTTTCTTATGTTATCTTTCTACTTTTTTATACATTGCATGTACAATCTCACAATAGTATTGATAGGAGATTTAGTAAAAGGAAATAACAGCGCATAGAAGAGGTTTGAAAAATGTGAAAAATGGATGAGGAATAGAAAACGAATTGCCAATGCTCATGATTGATGATGCCACTCGTGGATGACGTGTTGAGCAACATAACTATAGAAAAACATATACGCCCACCTCTTAACCAAAGTTTGGGATTGAAAAATCTAATGTCCAATTTGAAATCTATGTGAAATGGTTCTAAAAAACAATGCAACGAATATTCGACATAATTTTGGATTTGGATGGGACCCTATGACGAAACAATTTACAGCTAGTAATGAAGTACGTGACAATTATTTTATGGTGAGCTTCTTTTATTAAAAGAAAGTATATAAAATCTTGAAGTACAAATTAGTGATGTATATGTTTCATACGTTTGCACTTATAATTTTTTTGCTTTAAGGGTCCGTTTGATTGTAAATGTAGAAAATGGGTGGAAAGAAAATGTTTTATAGGAAATTGATTTGCTTAGAAATTGTTTTATTGGGAATTGTAATTAATTGTGTTTGAGTGGTATAATTTTCCATGGAAAATGTTGAAAGTTTTGTGCCTGTTTGGCTTTGTTTTTCTTATGAAAATTATCCATTAAAGTGATAATTTTTTCTACCATTGGGTCTAGAATTTGTTCCAATTGCATTGTTCCAATTGCAAAAAAAAAAAAAAAGTTGAAAAAAAATTTATCATAAATGGAGAAAATCCATGAAAAATATGGTATATCAAACGGAACCTAATATTTTCATTTTGAAAATTGATGTTACTATTATGGTTGGACAAAACTCCCGAACCCGAACCGAATTGAGCGGTTCTTCTTATGTTAAATACCCGAACGGGTATCTGAATCGAGTATCGATAGATTTGGTTCAATTCTCGGTTCTAAACCAAGAAACGAAGAACCGAATAAGAATTTAATCTCCCAAAATTTTTAATTTTTTTTATCTTAAATAAGTCAAATTATTTTATTTAAATAAATTGCTAACTAATTAATTTAATCCAAACTCAAAATATGATTTTGCTATTTTTAATTTTCAGTCAAGCTCGACTTAATTAAATTGACCTAAGAGTTAAGATTGAATACATCATAATCGAATTAATGTCGTTGTTGTAATATTAAAAAATATAATTATTGTACGGAATGTCTCAACCGAATAGAACCAAATTGAATTAAACTAAACCGAATGGAACAGGAACCAAATAGTTTCATAATTAAATTTAGATCCGACGGTTTCATTTATTAAATAGCTGAAAATTTTTTGGTTTAGTTTGGTTCTCTTTGAACCGAATCGAACCGGATCATGCTCACCCCTAGTTACTATACAGACATTTTTGTGGACTATGAAGATTTGAGAATTGTAGTTTGATGTGGAATTGATGATGGGATACACTTAACTGCACTGAGGGATGACATTGATGCAAGAACAGTTGAGACTGCAGAAAGAAGAGAAAGTGAAAGTTTAATAGATGACTTCTTGTATGATCCTAATAATGAGGCATTTATACAAACTAATAAACGAGACCATTTACATAAGCCATCATCTCTTGGGCACTCTACTCAACCATTACATTTTACGCCTATAAATTCAGATGTTTCCCCAGTAATTTGAAAACGAAATAGAATAGAGTTTGAAGAAAAAATTATCTCGTTTGATCCCAAAAATACCCAATCAGTTGTTACAGACAAGCTTGTTCGAATTGTTGACAAGCTCACTCATGCTATTGAATTAATTGACACTATAGAGCATAATTGTTGGGGGTGTTATCAAGGAGATTCCAAACTTGGATGATGATGCTTGTTTCAAGGCTCTTGATTTGCCCAATACTAAAGCAAATAAGTTTGAATTTTTGAACATCATACCAAAAGGATGTCCTACATCGATAATATTTAAATTAAAATGAGGCATTTTTT